CTCTAAGTTACCAAGATCTTTACTGCTCTCTGTTAGACCATAACGGGAAACAGACAGAAAGACAGACATGATAGACCGAAAGAGAGAGAGAGAGAGAGAGAGAGAGAGAGAGAGAGAGAGAGAGAGAGAGAGAGAGAGAGAGAGAGAGAGAGAGAGGGAAGAGGAAGAGGAAGAGGAATAGGATCGAGGGAACGTAATAAAGAAGGCACGACAACAGAAAAGGCGGCGATAAGACAGCCCACGCAAAAGCCACAGCAACCCGGCAACAACGCTATCGGCTCCCCCTTTCAAGTCCCTTCAGGAGCAGGTTGCGGCTAATGGACAGGGCGTAATGTGCACAGGGTGAGGCTCCCTTCCCCTGCCCTTCCCCTCCTTCTCTCTCTCCTTCCTCCTCCCTTTTCCCCTCCCCTCCCCCCCAAATTCATCACCCTCACCAGCAGTATTTTTCCTTGGAGGACAATCTGCTCCCTTCGCTTCCTCTTCCTCCGTGCATTCGTGACCCTCATTTCTCCCTCGTCCTTTTCTCCTTTTTGTTTCTGCTCTTTTTTTCTCGTCCCCTTTTCTTTGTCTGGCTCCCCTTTCGTCTGATTCTATTTTTATTCTTATTTTTCATCATCTTTTCCTTTTATTCTTGTTCCTCTTCTTTTCGTTCTTCTCTTTCTCCGTCTTTTTATTCTTATTCTTATTCCTCTTCCTTCATCTTTTTCTACTTTTCCTCCTCCATTTCCTCCTCCCCTCCCCCTCCTTCCCTTCCTCCCCCTTCTTCCCTTCCTCCCCCTCCTCCTCCTCTGTTTCCTCCATCTTCTCTTCCTTCTCTTCCCCCTCCTCTTCTTCTTCCTCCTCCTTTTCTCCCTCCTCCTCTTCATCCTCCTCCTCTTCATCCTCCTCCTCCTCCTCCTCCTCCTCCTCCTCCTCCTCCTCCTGTGTCTCCTCCTCCTTTCTGTTCCTCCTTCCTCCTCCTCCTCCTCCTCCTCCTCCTCCTCCTCCTCCTCCTCCTTCGCTTCCCCCCCCCCTTTCCCCACCTTTATCGTCTTTTATTTTCTTCTCTTCCACCAGTTGTGATAAGTTAACCTTCTGTCAAACACACAAAGCGCCCCGCATCTGCCTCCCAGCCTTCCCTTCTGTCCAATAAAGATCCATAACATTTACATGCATAATAACCTCGAGGAACGCAATATGTGTTGATAAAAAAGCAGATAATTATGCAATATGATCATCGGATGGGAATTAGTATTTGTCAATTAGCATAGTAATTGCCGTTGGAAGCATCGATTATGACAGAGATTTGATATAATCACATTATAATTACTGCGGAAAAAGGTTATATTTTTTTCTAGTTTTTTTTTTTTTTTTTTTTTTTTTTTTTTTTTTTTACATCTTTCACAATTGAATTTTACTCGTGCGTTTTAACTCTGATTATAATGTGATCGTTTTATGATCGGTAAGTAGAGTTAAGTGGTTCGTTCCTGTCCATTTTATCAACGCGTTGAGCGAAAGAAGAGGATTTGAGGATGATGATATGATATTGCTGCGGCGAAGGGGGAGGGGGGTGGAAAGTGGGAGTGGAAGAAGGAGAGGGAGAGGAAGAGCAGAAGGAGAGAGAGAGGGAGACATGACAAAGAGAGAGAGAGAGAGAGAGAGAGAGAGAGAGAGAGAGAGAGAGAGAGAGAGAGAGAGAGAGAGAGAGAGAGTGTGTGTGTGTGTGTGTGTGTGTGTGTGTGTGTGTGTGTGTGTGTGTGTGTGTGTATGTGTGCATGTGCGTGCGTGCGCCTCGCCAGTGCGGTTGATAACCCCATGGTACAGCATTACGACCATGATGGTATCAAACGCAGGTCCATGGGCTGAGCCGCCCTTGAGTTTACGGCCCAGATTTCCGTCGGGGATTTACGATCGCGATTCGACAGCGAGTATTTACGGTTTTAGGAGAATGATGTGGGGAGGGGGGGAGGGGTATAGGTACCTTCGAGCGATCACTCAAAGGAAACGTTAGGGATACCAAAAATAACGAAAGGAATAGATAAATAAACACAGAATCCAGCGGACTCTCGACCTTGACTGTATAAACTTCAGTGACATCGCGGATTTACAGTGAAATCGGATACCTCTGGTGTGAGAGAGTGCATCTGCCAAGGTTTACCTAATGCGGGTTTAAGGATCTGTAAAAGGCCTTGGAGGGGGGGTGTCGGAGAGGGGGTGGGGGCATGGCTGGGTCACGTCAAAGTCGACAAACATGCTTCGGGAAACAGAAGGCGATTTGTAAAGGGCATGGCGTAGTCCTTCCTTGTCTATGGCGGGACTCGTTAGCATAAGCGTGCCGCTCGGAGTGCCTTATTTGTCGCGTAGTTGGTATGAAGTAAAAGCGCGTGTAATGTATTCTTGGAGAGAAATGCATCTGATGTCCTCTCTTTCTCTGCTTATCTTTTTGTATACCATTCCTCTGTCTCTTTCTCTTTCTCTTTCTCTTTCTCTTTCTCCCTCCTTCCCTCTTTGTCTCCTTTTCCCTCTCCCTCTCTTTCTCCCGTTACTCTTCTCTCCCTTCCCTCAGTCCCTCTTTTTCCCCCCTTTTCTCTCTCCCCCTCCCTCTTTTCACCTCTCCCTCCCTCCCCTTTTTCTTTATCCGTTCCCTGTTCCATCGGGGCGAGGGTTGAGCTCTTGAAGGAGGCGGTGATCCCTTGGCGTCCTCGGGGAAGGATCCTGGCGGTGGTCGGCGGGCGCGGCTGCCGTCTATCCGCGGGAGGACGAAGCCCCAGACGGCGCGAGGTTTCCCCCGGGATGCTGGCGGCCTGCGATAGGCTGTGTTTAGCCTACTTCTTTATTTCCCCCGGGTCTCCTTTGCCCTTTCCCTCTCCCTCTCGCTTTTTCGCGCTCTGTACGCCGCCCTTCCCTCGCTGGCATGATCGCGCACATTCCTGTGTAGACACGAACGTACCCAAAACACACAGACATAATTATACAACAGCATACACAAATAGATAAACACACACACACACACACACACACACACACACACACACACACACACACACACACACACACACACACACACACACACTCTCTCTCTCTCTCTCTCTCTCTCTCTCTCTCTCTCTCTCTCTCTCTCTCTGTGTGTGTGTGTGTGTGTGTGTGTGTGTGTGTGTGTGTGTGTGTGTGTATGTGTATGTGTGTCCGGTTATCAGTTCCGTGATCAACCTGACCTCAAAGGTCCCTATCTAGATTCCATCAATGCGTCCGTTAATGGGCGAGCACTCAGTCTCCCCGACACGAGTGGTGTCCGGGCGCCGCTGCCGTGGACCAGCCGTCACCCGTCGGGGGGACGCCCGCCCGCCCTTCACCCGGCCGTGCCAGTCGCTTATGCCGTCAGTCAGTGCTATATCCCGAGATGTTAGTATTTGTTGTCTCATTGTCTAGCTGTCTTGCATTTAGTCGCGTGAACATATTTTTTTTAAGGTTTACTATTATAATAAGTATTATTATTATTGTTATTATCATCACCACCATCATCAACTCCACTACCACCACCAACATTACACCCGTCCCTGTATTCAGCTACTTTCCATCGTTTTCTACCTCATCATCCTCTGAAAATCAACAGTCATTTATATTCCAACATCCTCGTCCTTGTCCTTCCTGGCCTTCCCTTAAAGCATCGCCCCCTTGTTAACCCTCCCATATCGTGGCCGAAGACTGCCGCCAGAGGGCTTCGATGTTATGGCCGTGTCCCAGCAATTTTATAGTTCATTAGACTTTCCTTTCTTCCGCTTGAAATTTTCCTCCGTGTTGGTGGTTCAGGTCGAGAAGCAAAGTAGATAGATAGATAGACAGATCGGCAGATAGACAGGGAGACATAAGTAACCGAACTGATGAATGAACCGAAATAAAAGTCGGGATGGCAAGTAGCAAGAGATATATTCCCCCCATTAGCGTAACCTCACCGTAGCGACACAACCACTCACAGGGCGACGGCGGACAGCAGGGAAGGCCCGAATTATTACAATTATCCACAATTATCCAGACAGAGAGCCAGCCTCCACCCAGCAGGAGGCGGCGATCGGAGAGATAAGGACAGAGAGAGACCCGTCCCTCCCCATAGAGTTTCGTGTCATCAGCCTGTTACGGACCGTGATTTCGGAGGTAAATAGGCTAATGGTGCGCGTGGCGGAGGCGGCCGAAGAATATGTAAATGGGAGAATTGGTTTTTGTTTTTGCTGCTGATAATGTTGATGTTTTTTTTTTTGGTTGCGTTTTCTCAATTTGCTTAATTGATTTCAACAGCGTTTTATTTTCTTTCGCTGTTTCTTGGCGGAATATTTTTTTCATGTATTTTTTTCCATCTTTTCAAAGCTAAAATTCATGCATTGCAGCTCTTTAGGAGTTATGTACTTCGTGTTTCCGAAAACTACATTAATGCATCTCAGTAAGGGCTCACTCTAACACTCAGCTCGAGAGCTTTGCTCCTGCTATCTCTCTCTCTCTCTCTCTCTCTCTCTCTCTCTCTCTCTCTCTCTCTCTCTCTCTCTCTCTCTCTCTCTCTCTCTCTCTCTCAGTCCTAAAGTCCGTAGCTGCAGCGCCCGTGAAAAGATTTTAACACGGGCTTATTGCACAGCCATTAGATTAGGTGATATTATTAGCGCCCGGCAACTGGCCGAAGCGAATCTTAATGAATGTGCGAATCTCACTATATTCGACGAATTTATTTCTACCATCTATAATTTATTTATCATTGCCATTGTTAAACTATTTGGCATTTAAGTTATTACTGTCGTCTGTTTACCTTTATAATTATAATTATTTTTCATGAACATTATTTGTTATTTGTCATTGTTATTGTTAATTTATTTGTCATTATTATTATCATTCTAATTATCATTATCACTATTTGGCAATATCGCTATCAGTCTGCTCATTATTTTTATTTTGAATTTGTGGGTTAGTATTAATATCAATCAATTTATCACGAGAAAGGAAGATTTAGGTCGCAGTTAGGCCGGGCATAGCTGCGGATGGCAGAGATTGTGATGCGCGAAGATGTGGATGAGACAGAAAAGAATTTTAGTGGGTAATTTTCATGCAAATTTTGGAGGAATTAGGAAGGGAATCAGCGAAATCAGTTGACATTAATTGTGAATTACGTTCTTTTTTTCGTATTTGTGTGAAAATAATTGCGCAGTTCATTCGGCAAAGAAAATCGTGCTACTTCTTTTGAAGCCTAGCTAAAAAAGAATTTTCCGTTCGTCTGTTCAGTAACCCCAGTCGCTCCTCACTAGCATCTCCTACCCGCACGCCCACTCCCACCAACACTCCCAGTCCACTCACAGTCCCACTCTAAAACCCATTCCCACTCCCACTCCTTCACCCACTCCCAGTCCCACTCCAACACCCATTCCCAGTCCCACTCCAATACCCATTCCCAGTCCCACTCCAACACCCATTCCCACTCCCACTCCTTCACCCACTCCCAGTCCCACTCCAACACCCATTCCCACTCCCACTCCTTCACCCACTCCCAGTCCCACTCCAACACCCATTCCCACTCCCACTCCTTCACCCACTCCCAGTCCCACTCCAACACCCATTCCCACTCCCACTCCTTCACCCACTCCCAGTCCCACTCCAACACCCATTCCCACTCCCACTCCTTCACCCACTCCCAGTCCCACTCCAACACCCATTCCCACTCCCACTCTATCACCCACTCCCAGTCCCACTCCAACACCCATTCCCAGTCCCACTCCAATACCCATTCCCAGTCCCACTCCAACACCCATTCCCACTCCCACTCCATCACCCACTCCCAGTCCGACTCCAAAACCCATTCCCACTCCCACTCCTTCACCCACTCCCAGTCCCACTCCAACACCCATTCCCACTCCCACTCCTTCACCCACTCCCAGTCCCACTCCAACACCCATTCCCACTCCCACTCCTTCACCCACTCCCAGTCCCACTCCAACACCCATTCCCACTCCCACTCCTTCACCCACTCCCAGTCCCACTCCAACACCCATTCCCACTCCCACTCCTTCACCCACTCCCAGTCCCACTCCAACACCCATTCCCACTCCCACTCCTTCACCCACTCCCAGTCCCACTCCAACACCCATTCCCACTCCCACTCCTTCACCCACTCCCAGTCCCACTCCAACACCCATTCCCACTCCCACTCCTTCACCCACTCCCAGTCCCACTCCAACACCCATTCCCACTCCCACTCCTTCACCCACTCCCAGTCCCACTCCAACACCCATTCCCACTCCCACTCCTTCACCCACTCCCAGTCCCACTCCAACACCCATTCCCACTCCCACTCCTTCACCCACTCCCAATCCCACTCCAACACCCATTCCCACTCCCACTCTATCACCCACTCCCAGTCCCACTCCAACCCCCACTCCTCCCTAACCCCCACCCCATAATCCCCACCGCTCTGCCAATAGCGTAGTCAAACTATTTCATTACGTCATTGGGGAATCCCCGGCTCTTTCTTCTTTTTCTATCTCCTTTCTCATTCTCCCTGAAGGCCAGCTGACCCTGCTTTCCCCTCCTTTCCCCTCTCCCTTCCGCTCCTTTCCCTTCCCCTCCTTCCCCTCTCCTCCCTCGGCTGGGATTCGGGCGGCTAGACTCCATCGGCGAATTGGACGGAGAATTATTAGTAGGGTTTATGTTCCTTCCTTCCTCCCCCTTCCCTTCTCCTTCTTCTTCTTCTTCTTCTTCTTTCTCTTCTTCCTCTTCCTCTTCCTCTTCCTCTTCCTCTTCCTTTTCTTCATCCCCTCTCCAACCCGTTCTCTTGACATCAGTTGTACATTTAGATGATTAACGAAAAGGAGAAGGAAGAAGGAAGAACGTAGAGAAAGAAGGAGGAAATAGTAGGAGGTAAACGTATGATGTAAAAACTGCGGTATTTCTGCCTTTCTGAAGTCGAAGTCGTGACTTATTCAAGGCGAATCGAAGACTGTGTTTTTTATGCGTGAAAATGTATTTTTATTTACCCCCACATCTTTTGATTATAAAAGATACAAGCTGTCTTTCTTTCTTTCTTTCTTTCTTTCTTTCTTTCTTTCTTGAAATTCACAAATTACAGAATGCGCTCACACACATAAGACGATTTAAATGAACAGTAAAGGAATTGTAAAGAAAATCCAGAATTTAAAAACCTTCCAATAAAGTTTCCTGGTGGTTTAGAGGTCACGCCCCGACAGCGTTATTTCCTCTTGAAGGTGAGGCAGACTTCAAACCATTTTCCGGGAGATTGCAGCGTCGCCCTCGCCCACGCGCCCCGCCCGCGTGCCACGTCCGACAGCCCATCTCCTGGCTGCGCGCCCGGAAATCGACTCTTCGGCCGGTGTCACGGGGCATAGAGGGAAAATCGAAATGAGGAAGGCTGAGAGCGAGAGAGAGAGAGAGAGAGAGAGAGAGAGAGAGAGAGAGAGAGAGAGAGAGAGAGAGAGAGAGAGAGAGAGAGAGAGAGAGAGAGAGAGAGAGGCGAAGGAACATATAGCTATATTTCTGTATTATTTTATAGAAAAAACAACAACCAAAAGAATAACGAAAGCGAACAAAGAACTTGCTAGATCTATATATTGTAGAAATGCCAGTGTCTTTACAAGTAGTACGCCACGAGACGCCTTTGTTTTGGATACTATTTCCAAAACTGGTTTGTTTGTTTCCCCCCTTTGGCTCGGTCTTAGTACAACGCCGATGGATTTCCTCGTATTTGCAGCGAGTGTTTCAATGAATGATGTGATATCCCATCCATCACTTAAGCAGCTAGTTCATTTCCGCGGGAGATGATTATGCATTGTGGTTCGCCCTAGCATTTTGGATCGAGAGAAGGACTAGAACTAAAGGAACACAGAATGCTACGGCGTTCCCTCGTCTAACACCTCTTCATCGTGACCAGTAAAGAAGTCAGATTCAAAAGATAGATAACAGGATTGTATATCTTAAGGAGAGGGGGAAGTGCAGGGTGTGGTGCAAAGATGCTGCAAAGATGCAATTGGGCGACAGAGATTAGTTTCTTGGTATTCAGTTTAGGGAGAAAAGTTAGCCGGTTCCAAGGTCTCGGGGACTACGTGCAGGGGAGAGCCAGGGGTCCAAGGCTGGTCTCGCTTCGTGCGTGTTGTTTCCCGTTTCTTACTTACTCCTGTTCTTGTGACTGTTAGGTTGCAAAATGATGCAGAAAGATAGTTATCTGCTCTCTCTCTCTCTCTGTTTCTCTCTCTCTCTCTCTCTCTCTCTCTCTCTCTCTCTCTCTCTCTCTCTCTCTCTCTCTCTCTCTCTCTCTCTCTCTCTCTCTCTCTCTCTCTCCCTCTCTCCCTCTCTCCCTCTCTCCCTCCTTCCCTCTCTCTCTCTCTCTCTCTCTCTCTCTCTCTCTCTCTCTCTCTCTCTCTCTCTCTCTCTCTCTCTCTCTCTCTCTCTCTCTCTCTCTCTCTCTCTCTCTCTCTCTCTCTCTACCTCTCTACTCGCATACCAGCTCTTTCTCTCCCTCTCAGTTTCCATTCTTAATCTGCATTTGCCACTAGGTCAGAACATAGGTATGTAACCCTAACGTTATAAGCTGGAGGGAATGTGGTGGGGAGCAACGCCTTGTGAATCTGACCGTGCAAGGGCAGAGGTCCGAGGGGAAAGGAGGGGAAACAGAACGAGCGAGAGAGAGAAAGAAAGAGAGAAAGAGAAAGAAGGAGAGAAAGAAAGAGAGAAAGAGAAAGAAAGAGAGAAAGAGAAAGAGAAAGAAAGAGAGAAAGAGAAAGAAAGAGAGAGAGAGAAAGAAAGAGAGAGAGAGAAAGAAAGAGAGAGAGAGAAAGAAAGAGAGAGAGAGAAAGAAAGAGAGAAAGAGAGAGAGAGAGAGAAAGAAAGAGAGAAAGAGAGAGAGAGAGAGAGAGAGAGAGAGAGAGAGAGAGAG